TGTAGCAGTGATGGAATAAACAGCAGGATCAAATCAAGTCTCTAGAATACATCTCCTGCTGGGATGGGTCCTCAGTCCTTTGTTCAGAGCTTCAGTTGTAGCGAAGTCCCTCCAGAGGTAAGAAGCAGGATTGAAGACAAAATGGAGATGAGGCATCAGCCTTATATAGTCTTTTCCAGGTGTAAGAACACCTTTTTGTTCTTACTGTGGAAAATTACAGCAAAATGGAGTCTGGAGTCACATGGGCCAGTCCCTGCATACTTTGCTGAGTCTGAAGGCGTATCTCCCTTCTCTCAATGGGTCCATTGTATAGCTGATGGTCCTTAATGGGCCATCAAGCAGGCTAGGCAGAGCTGACACCAACTTGTCTGGGATGTCTCCCAGAAGTATAGCATAAGTTTGAAATACAGACAGTATAGAGCCAATATTCATAACTTCAACAACAAAATTGATACACACATATAGACAGCATAATCATAACCAGCAAACCATAACCTTGTCTTAGACACCTCATTTGACCCCCTTTATACAAGATTTGGTGCCACTACAGGACTTTGGTTGCAACCATGTTCTATATGGTCCCAGATTATGCCAATAACGTCACACCTGCTTCCTTCCCTCCCCGCCGACCTAACCCTGCTGAAGCCCTGGCCACCCTGGCCACCCCCCTTCTCTCCCCCCACTCCCTCCCCCTCCCCCCGCTAGCCGGGGCACGTCTGCAGCGCAGGGAGTCCCCCTGCACCCTGGCTCCGGCCACCCCGCAGGTTTTATTTATTTTTTTTGCTTTGTCGTTCTGGCCATCCTGATTTTTTTTTTGCTTGGGGCGGCAAAAAAGCCAGAGCCGGCCCTGCCCCTCCTGCACCCAAACTCCCTCCCAGACCCCACACTCCCTCTATTAATATAGTAGAAATGTGCGGCCTGGGACGATGTACCAAAATTCATGAGTGGCCCCCCTGCAAAAATTATTGCCCACCCCTAGTCTATCCCTTTCCTGATGTTTCCTAACATGGTTTGCTTTTCTGACTCCTGCCGCTGCACATTAAGCGGATGTTTTCAGGGAACTATCCACAAGGACTCCAAGCTCTCTCTCTTGAGTGGTAACAGCTAAATTAGCGGCACATTTTTTTTTAAATTGGTTTTGGTTTGACCCAAAACATTCCCCCCCACAATTGTTGGAATTGCCAGCAAACAGGCCTCCTCACCAGGGTGCCTGGGTGCTGTTAATGAGCTAAGTCAACACGTGCTCATCTGCAAGCCTTCCATCCCCTTCTGTTGTTTCTTGGCATAGAAACCATAGTTGGGCTACCTGCAAGCTGGGGGGTGCTGTCCAGAGACATTGGTCTCCATATGTTATTCCACAGGCCTTTCCCTCCCGAATATGAGTTGCCTTCCCATCTTTGAGCATCACACCGTTGTTGGTTCCCTCTGCTTCAGTGACCTGACAGTTTCCCTCACTGTGACAGCTTCCTCCGGAGAACTTGCTTAATTTTAATTACCTTTCCCCCACATGCCATTTGCATTTTACTTTGTTGCACTGCTCCCCCCGGAGCAATGGCAGCACCAAAGCCAGAGCCGCTGCCCGGCTGCTGTTGGTGCCAACGGAGCGCTGATAATACGTAGCCACTGCCAGATGTTAATTAAGCAAAATCAAATCAAGCAAATTAAAACACTGGGTTTTTTAACTCCCATCTATGTAGTTAGTCACAGTGCTTATTTCTTAGGGGCAGTTTGACTCAGCAGTTGAAATAAAATAGCGCTGATAGTTACATACCGGCCTGATTTTTTCTCCTCGATGACTGTCACTCAGAAAGGGACAGCGAATCAGAGGGAGGGATGTGATGACAGCTCTCTAGAGATATGTAACAGGATGGTCTCAGGAAGGCAGGGGAACATTATCCTGGCAGTAATGGGTTATTCTAGTCGCAGGGACAATTCAGGTGTGATATTAGTTAAAGCCAGGCTTACATTAGAAAAAATCTTCATCGATGAGATCCTCAACTGGTATCAGAACTGGGAAATGGGCTGTCTAGCCTAGCGGTCAGAGCCAGAATCAGGAACCAGGCCAGGTGTCAGAGCCGGAATCAGGAACCAGGCCAGGCGTCAGAGCCGGAATCAGGAACCAGGCCAGGTGTCAGAGCCGGAATCAGGAACCAGGCCAGGCGTCAGAGCCGGAATCAGGAACCAGGCCAGGTGTCAGAGCCGGAATCAGGAACCAGGCCAGGTGTCAGAGCCGGAATCAGGAACCAGGGATCAAGGCATTGGTCAGGTGCAGTACAGCAGCCAGTCAGGAAGTCACCGAATTGTCCAGACAACTTCCTGTGCCTCCTTCTGGCTTAAATAGGATGGCTGGGCCAATCAAAGGGGCCAGTCATCGTCCCCTAGCGGGTGGGGGCTCTGGGAGGAGGCAGAGTTATGCTAGCCTCTCGCTTCCAATAGCGCTGGGTGCTGCTGGAGTGTGAGGGCTGCCAAGGCCCTGGGTTCAAGACTTGTGGGTCCCTAGAGTGGGTGCCAATTGGAAGAGCAGCAATTGAATGCTGCTGCGAAGAGCCAGCACTGGTTTATGCCAGCTGGGGATCTGGCCCCAAGTCTCTAAGGGGAAGAGCCATGAAGGGAGTTGGGACAATTCACACCAGCTAAGGAGCTGCCCCTCCGAATGCGTTATCAGCGAACCAGCTGTGGAGGGTGGCTGGGGAGTCACTGCAATTAGAGATACCGGAGACTGAGTGTTTGCAGCTGGGTGTAGGGGGAATCACTCCGCTCGCTTGGCCCTGCCATGGTTTAGCCGAGATAGGCCGTTATCTGAACTGTCCCCCGGCTCAGGCGGAGGCTTTGTGTTCTGCGCCGATCTCGCTGCAGTTTATCATTTGTGCTCTAGTTGGTCCATTGTTGGATGCTGTTACTTTGTATCGCACCCGTGCGGGCCTAGCCTGCGCAGCGAATGGCCCGGCCCTTTAACGGGGGTGAGCAAACTGGAATCGACAGTTATTCATACAGCACCTCCAGGCCTTAGCCAAGTTCCGGCCCCTGGGTGCTAGACACTGCACAGACATGTAGGGCCAAACTTTCCATCCAGCTCAGGGCCAGATTTCCAAGGGCTCAGCACGTGACATGCTGGGCTTTCCCGAGCGGCTGGATCTTGGTGCCTTTTGAAAACCCTGGCCCTAGTTATCCCTGGACCCTGTCCCCAAACGTTTGTAGATTTGCAACCGTTCCAGATGTCTGGCCCTTCTTAAAGACAAGTGGCTTGGGAGGTTTTTCAAGTGCTTTGGACTCAAGCTCTCGCTTCCAGCCTGTGTTGTATCGGGTTGGTTCGGCCCTTCCGTAGGCAGGCAGGGCTGGAGGCACTGGACCCAGTTCAATTTAGCAGCCGGACAGCCAATGTGGGGATGTGCCGGTCCGGCTCAGCCTGGATTTAAAGAGACACAGGGTCGATTTCGGCTCAAAGAGGTAGGTTTTGGTAAAAGCCTCGGGCAAATGGATGCATCCTCCTGGTGGCCAGTCTCCCCACCCCGTAGTCTTCGGTCAGAGCCAGGGAGGCTGGCATGCAGACTCGCCTGGGGAAAGCCTGGATGCAGGGGCCAAGTGGAGGTTGATTAACCCCCCTCACTCCTACTGCCCAGAGGTGGCACAGCTGCCAGGCGCCACTTGGCCATTCCAGCTCCCCTGTGCCAGCCAAGCTGGGGGTGGGGTTCCCTAGGTGAGATCCCCCTGTAGGCTCTGGCCTACCTGGGGGGCCCTCTGTGGCTGGGGTGCCCAGCCGTGCTGCCACGGCAGAGCGCAGAGGCGGCCCCCGGTTCCACCCAGCCTGCAAGCAGCGGCGGCACCAGCATCGTCTCCCTCCCCCCCTCCTCCGCAGGGCCAGCCCCGCCGCACCGCGCTGGGTGTGGCCGAGCCCTGGTGCGGGCCTGCTGGTCCCGGCGCCGCTGCTGGGCATCGCCGGGTGCCCGCTGCTGGCGCTGGCCTGGGGGCCCGCTGTGCTGCATTGCGGGGCGGGCGCCTCCTCCCCCCTCCCTCCCCTGGAGGCAGCGGGACTATCTGGGCCGGGCAGCAGCGCTGTCCTCGGGCAGGAATGTCCCTGCTCGCCCAGATAATGTTATTTATATCGCAGGGCTGGGCGGCTCCGCTCGGCGCTCCCCGCGCTGCCCCAGCCCCGCCGCGCCTCTGCCTCGCCGCTGCCCAGGACTCCGCGCTGCTGCCGCTGCCCTGGACAGGTGAGTCCGCGCCGGCCCTGAGTTGCGAGGGGATGGGGCCGAGGCGCACGGAGGGGAAGGGGTCCGGATCCGGGGCGCACGGAGGGAGAAAGTCTCCGGATCCGGGGCGCAGGGAGGGGAAGGGGTCCGGATCCGGGGCGCACGGAGGGAGAAAGTCTCCGGATCCGGGGCGCACGGAGGGAGAAAGTGTCCGGATCTGAGGCGCACGGAGGGGAAGGGGTCCGGATCCGGGGCGCACGGAGGGAGAAAGTGTCCGGATCCGGGCCGCAGGGGCGAAGGGGTCCCGATCCGGGCCGCAGGGAGAGGAAGGGGTCTGGATTCGGGGCGCACGGAGGGAGAAAGTGTCCGGATCCGGGGAAAGGGAAGGGACGGGGTCCGGATCCGGGGCGCGCGGAGGGGAAAGGGTCCGGATCCAGGGCGCACGAGAGGAAGGGGTCCGGATCCAGGGCGCACGCACGCAGGGGGGCGGGATGCAAGGGAGGAGGCTGCAGGGGCGCAGAGAGGGACGGAGCCGGGGCGCACAGACAGGGGATAGACTCCCCCCTCCCCACACACACACCCCTCTCCGGACACCGGCCCAGCCCTCTGCGCTTGCGGGGCTGCTGCGCCGCATGGAGTCCGGGCGCTGCGTGGAATGATGCGCCCTGGAGAAGCCTATTTATAGCGTGGACTTGGAGACAGTTTCCTGGCAAGCCTCTGGAAGGTGTGCGGCGGGGGGGGGTTGTTTCAATCCCTCCATGCCCCCTCCCGGCTGGTCCCCCAGCCCTGCCGCAGGGACTCCTGGGGGGAGCTGGATGAGGGTCCCTTTCTCCTTACCCTACTGGGGCGCAATTCCCGGTGTGTCTCTGTGTGCTGGGGTCAGGGATTCTCTCCCAGCACAGCCCCAAGTGGCAGCAGTGTCTCTGGAAAGATCTGGTACAGAAAGAGCAAAGTTCGGGTCTGTGTGTCGGTGGGATTTAGTATTTAGATCGCAAGTCCTTCGAGGCAGCGACTGTCCAGTTGGTCCTGTGTTTGTTCAGCACTACAGCAACGGGGCCAAGCCAAGTCCATGACCAGGGCTCCTGGGCCCTACCACAGTGCAAAGAATAAACGAGGAGAGGAAAAGTGGGTGAGGGCAGGCGTCCGGATGCCAGGGTGATGGCCAGCCTTGTGAACAGCCAACGGGTCCAGATCCCCTGTCGGTAGTTGCAGCGTAAGGACAAGCTGGATAAAAGGGGCGGGTTGGGGGGATTATGGAGCCTTTCCTCTGGGGGTCTCTGGCTTGAATCCAGCCTGTGTTTGTTGTCAAGGAGCCGCTGCCATCGTCTGATGTGACATGAGCGGGTCTGGGTTCAGGTGCCTACAACCCAAGCCAACCCTCCACTGCTGGCACCTCTAGCAGGAGTCAGCATGCAGCATGCAGGATGGTTCGTTATGGCGTGTATCCTGGCGCTTGCTCCCAACTTTCGTGAGTCTCAAGTGATGGGAGCTTCTGCCTTTCCCCGGGGAAAGCCAGTGACTGAGAAGAAGCTTCCTCTTGGCCTTAGAAGTGGCACTTCCCCCAGGGCTGTGGCACGGCGGGGGCCGTTTGGTGGACCCCATGATGGCAGTATTGTTGTCTGGTGCTCTCAGTCCATCCAGCTCCTTGCACTTTGAAAATGAGCGAAACTGCCTGTGTTGCGTGTGCAGTGTCTGGTCAGAACCCTGGGCAGAGAAATCTGCCTTCACCCAGCTGAGACTGGCTTCCCCACTAGCCTTGGCCCATCCTTCCTGTACATTAGCCCACCGTTTAGTCCTCCCACCAGCCTGAATTCTCTTCTGCAGGGCCCCATTCGATTCACATCGCTGGGGTTTTGTCTCTCAAGCTGTGTACGCTGTAGGATGACCAGATAGCAAGTGTGAAAAATCGGGACAGGAAGTGGGGGGTAATAGGTACCTCTATAAGAAGAAGCCCCAAAAAATCAGGACTGTCCCTATAAAATCAGGACATCTGGTCACCTTAGTACGCTGCCAGTGTGGGGCCTGAAACTGACAGGAGCCAGAAGGGGCTGGCTGGCTGCCCCCGTCATTTCAAATGTAGCAGCACCTCAGATTGCACCTTCCTGCATGTGCAGGTGTGAGCCAGAGAGCCCCCCCCCTGCCCTCCAGTCTGTTCATCGAATGCAGCCGGGTAGCGTGACGGAGCATCTACAGACCCAGAGTCAGGAATGCAAAAGTTCTGCTTCCTGAAGCAATGCTAACTCGGCCCACATTGCACACAGCCATCACATCTCGGTCCTTGAGCACCTCCGATCCCAGCCCCAGCATTGGCTTCCTTTCCGCGGTTAATGTCTAGAAATACGACATGCAAACCCTCCGGCGGAAGGCTTGATGTCACAGCTTGGCTTCGGACAGCCGTCCTGACATTGAGTTTAATGGGGGTTGTCCTCCTGACGCATTTTCGTCGCTAAGTGTATGATCCAAGCGAGTGGTCAGCTCTGTCACTCTTCTGGATGTTGTCAAAATGTGCCGATGCAGTTCCCTGGACCTGCCCTGCGCATCGTCTGTGCCCGAGAGGGCTGCCAAGGTTCAGAGCTCGAAAAGAAAAT